GGAGATGGCAGCCATCTAATGTATGTTAGTCTTGGGTGTCCAACACCTTCACAAGAATGGGATAGAACTTACAGATCTTCGAGCCGATTTGCAACACAACGTATTCCAAGTTCGAGCACAGCTTATCCATAGCTGTCACCGCTTTGGAAAACATTTCCACAGCCTCGTCCAACTCCTTTTGTACATCCATGCCCGCCTTGTACGCAAAGTAGTATACGTGCGTTACCTCCCCGATGTCCGGTATCTTCTCTACCAGCTCCTTGTTGAGACTCTCTTGGCTATGCGCGAGTAGGTCAATGCCAGAGACCAGGTTTAGGCGCGGGTCCTCTGGCCATTGCGTCTGGTTTGGGGCGAGGGGGCGATTGTTGAGTCCATGAACCCGCTTCCATATGTTCTTCTCGGGATAGTCGGAGAGGATTTCGTTGACGAAGGACCATCCTGCATGATCATTATCAGTATGAAGCTCATCTATAGTCTTTTGAGGGGTTTACTGACCGGTCACGCCGGATGCGCCAAACACGACAGCTGACTTTGACATTCTTCAAGACGTGCTAAGGATGAGCTTTGAGAAGAGTGAGGCCTCAAGGATAATGAAGCTTATAAGCAGGGCGAAGCGATAAGGCACCGGCACGGCGTGTGCCAAAAACTAGCCCTTGCAGAGACTACATGTTGTCTCTTTGCATGGGCGACCAGTATGGAAGGTGGGGTTGCGATTGGGATTGCGATAGTGGAGACATGAAGTCTAGATGGGTTCTCTCCTACGGGAGTTTTCCCATACTGCCCATGGGGTGTACTAAACGTTAGTAGTACGGACACTTGTGCGTAAGCTACCTACCGCGCGCATAACTTCAAACAGCCGCTCTACACTCTACAGATCGTCAGCGCTCTTCTGAAGATCCCGCGTCGTATCACGAGGAATTCAGAAGGAGGCCCGGTCGCCTCGGCGGGCCATCCGGTACCCATGAGTTGTGGGGTTGCCGCGAGGAGCGCCCGAGAATATAGCCGTTTTCGAGTCATCCCAACCTCTTCTGGACGCGTCGCCGATTCAGGGTATGCAAAATCCTAGATTGAGGGGCCCGTTGAGTGTATGCGACATGTGCGCGGCGCGTCGACGTCTGATGAGGAGCTCATAGGACAATGCCGTGGTGGAGGAAGGAACGATGAGGAGACGTGCTAAAACAATTTCCCAGGGTCCATGACGTCGGCGACGCGCCGGGCGAGAAGGTAAGCGTCCCCCTGACACATCTTGCGCAGCCAACACAACACGACCGCATCATCGATATGTCCAACGCTATGCAAAAGATGGTATGAGGAGAGCCAGATTATCAATTAAGCTACAGCATTCTAGGTGCTCAGTGGAACTCGTTCTTGTCCGCGTACACGTCGTTCTCGAGAAAGACCTCCACCTTGTCCGTCATCTTCGGTGTCAAATCCTCGCAATAGAAGATGCAGAGCAATCCTACGATACCAAAACTCAGACTACTGAGTGCCACGATCTTTAGCGCGTGCGCATAGCTCCATTGGAACGCCAAAGAAGCCGCGCCTAGTGCCTCTGGACTTGTACCTGGCACTTCCGCGATGGCGGCTGCGCCTAGGGGCAAAGCGGCAAGTAAAGCTTGCGCGTTCTCCAACGACATACCCGCCTTCACAGCAGCAGCGGGAACCGTCGCAGCAGCACGAGTGGTCTGGGTGTTGGTGAGGATAGTGGTATAGATGGCTTGAGCCAGCGACCCTCCTGCGTAACGAGCCATACCCGCCAAACCACCCGAGAAACCGAGATCTTGTTGTGGCACGCCAAGTTGCGTGAACGCGATGGACTCGTACTGTGCCCATCCGAAGAAAGAGGCGTTGATGCAGCAGAACGCGATCATCAAGTTCTGGTTGAACGGGGTGACAAGGCCCATCAATGCACCGAAAAGCACCATGCCAGTCCAGGTACCGATCAATGTCCATTTCCAGTGTCCGATCACGTTGCCGAAAGCCATGAGGCATAGTGATCCGAAAACAAGGCCTACGTTCGGCGGCAGTGTGAGCAGCAGTTCGGTACTCCGCGAGACGTTCGGGCCCAGGTAGAAGACATTAACCATTGTCGGCCAGATGATGTTGACTGAGTAGTAGAACATGGTGACGATGAACGCTACGATGAACGGCGCTGTGAATTCTCTTCCTTTGTGGCTCCGGAATAGGTGTGGCGGGCAGAGTTTGAAGCGGGTGTTCGAGAGCGTCTCCCAGACTCCGAATGCAGCGATTAGGACGAACCCGACTACCATCGGTGCAATGACGGTTACGTCTGAGCTTGGCTTGTATGTGGTGTTGATGATACCAACAAGCGCAAGGCAGATGCCTGGCACAATGAGTGCAGTGCCCACATAGTCGAGGCCGCGGACTGCCTCGGACCATGGGACGCCCTTGGGGTGCTTCGGTGGCTTGTAGAGCAAGAAAAGAGATATGAAGGATATGGATTGAGCAATCAGACCAGCCCAGTATACCCACTGCCACGCATTGACGTCGATGGCGTACTGTGAACGAATGTCAGCTAGTTCGCTCAGCAGGTCGAAGCACTGCACTCACTCTTCCAACAATAGGACCAATTATGACAATAAGGAAGACGAAACCATCCGAAAGACAGATACCAATGTGCCGGAACTTGTTCGGTAGAAGTTCTGTAACAGTCAGACCCACTGGCATGTCAAACACAACGCAGCTCACTCACCAGGAATGCTGCACATGGCCATCTGCGCGAATCCGGCTCCAAATCCGGTTATAGCCAGTCCAGCTGTGAAGTGGTCTGCTCCTTTCGCTGTCGCGGTCACGATGAAACCGACGCAACAACACGCATTACCAAACAACAAGAACCACCTCCTTCCAAAGAGATCGGAGTTTGCGCCCGCAAGAAGGAAGCCAATCGCGTTGGCTGTTGTGTAAGCGGGTATGAACCACGCGCTCGCTGTCGGAGCACCGAATTGAATGGCAAGCCGAGCCATCATCGCTGATGTGGTAGGTACAGGCCAAAAGGAAAGACCGAAAGTCGAAGACAGGATGAAGATGACGAGCCATGTCTTTGGCGTTATGGTGGTTGCATCTGGGGTAACGAATGTCTGTGGTGGTGTCGCTGCAACGGTTTCGATTTGCTCAATGTCTCTCTTCTCGTCCGATGGCCGGCGCATGCCGCTCTCGTGGATGGCTGTTACTGCCATGATGGTTTGGTGAAAGAAGCCGCCTGATGCAGGTGCGACTTTGTGTAACTGGGGTGAGAGATCGTCGCAGAGAGCCCACTCATGGCTTGCATATATCCTTCGCTGGGTCTTGTAGACATGCACAGGTCACATCCCATCAAGCCACTGGTCCGACACCTGGACTTTCCTCCAGCCCCGCATCTCGGATACACAGAAGCACAGCTAATTATGCCACTGGGTTGTTCTATTGGCTAGATTTCGCCATCATTTTTCAGCACTTTTTCGCACGTTCTGAAAATCCGGGGTAGTGGATGTGGATGTGGGTATCCGAGACTGACTGCGGAGAAGTATCGCGCCACATCATGGCGCTTGACTGGAAGTGGTAGTGGGCGATCAAGGGGCGAGGATCGTCTTCACCAGGAACAACGTTTCCGTCGTTACTGTGCTGTGCGCGAAAGCTTATTTCCGACATCCGTGCGTTCACCTCGAGATCGCAGCCATGAACATCGTTGCACGTGAAAAATACAGGGTTTACTGAGGACTTTGAGCTAGACGAGACCGACATGTGACACCACGATGCTGAAGTCCCGGAATTGGCCAAGGGTTGGGCTGGTTTGGTTGTGTTGGATAGTTTACCGGTCTGCAAACCGTACATCTGCACCGAGGCATGGAAGAGGCATGGAGGACTAATTCACGATATTCAGTCGCAGAGATACCATGTGTAAATAGAAGACTTGGTAATCTTTCGCTCGAATTCACTACAACGCCTAGTACCTTGCATCTCGGACTATGTCCAGATAGCGCCCAGACTACGCATCCACTCTACGCGTAATCCCATCCGTAGTATCGCAATCAGGAATCGCTTTTCCAAAGCAGATCATATCATGCCTAGACTCATTTCATCAGCAAGTCAGTCGACACCAATCACCACTCTCGCCGACATTACCCGCCAAAGAAACTGAAGAGAAAAAGACTCACCCAGCCATGACCTGGATGCCCTTCTCCAGATCCATAAACTTCTCCGCATCCGGCATGAGTGCAGCCCGGTACTCGTCGCTCCCGGCAAAAGCCTCCCAATCTTCCCACTTCTTCACCCAGATTTGACTGCAAGCATCGTAGTCTAATAGATCCATGCCCAAGCTCTGCAGTTTACCTTTGAGGCCTGGTGATTGGTAGTGCTGTACGTAGCGTTGTATCTTGACTGCGTGGAACTTCTTGCATGCGACAGTGAGATCGGAGTGGATATGGTTGTAATGCTTCTTGAAGAATTCATCGGTAACGTCGGGGTGTTTGCGAAAGAAGAAGGAGAGCTTTATACAGGCTAGAGAATAGCATCAGTACATGATATATTCCAGCGACGAGGATGGACAGACGCTGGTAGTTCTCTTGTTTGTCCCATTCAAACTCGGGATTTGCGAAATCATGCTGCTGAAGTGTTAGTCATGCATGTAGGACAAAAAGGGCGGAGAGCATACATCGATAGTCTTGTAGGTCATATTAGCGTGTAGTTGGTGGTCGTGTAGGAAAGTCGAAGGCTCTGGGGTTGTCGGCTCCCAGAACCTAAAGTATCTGTGTATTTCACAAGTACAGCCGCTAACAGTGACCCTGCATAACCGACCGAGGAAAACAGAGCAAGCCAAGTTCAGCGTGCGGGGTCTAGTATATAGCGGTACCACCAGTGGCACGATCGAAGCAGGCTGCCTAATGTCATGTTGTACAATAGATCGCTGGTCAGTGGTATGAGCGCCTCACAGTATGTAGCATCGTGATGACGGTCCTCAGTTGATATCGTAGAATTAATGCTGGACTAGATAAATGACGTGTCTAGAATACAACAACCTGTCTCTTCTCCGCTTTACCAGCCTCCATATCAGCGACCATCTGCGGCAAATCATCAATCTTGCGGAACTCGACTTCTGGTTGTATGCTGCGGAAGGTCAGAAACTGTTTTCACATGGCAAAAGAAGTAACATACCAGTGCTTGCCAGTGAAATCCACAGCCTTCTTCATTCGCTGCGGAATACCCGTGCTGTCGGCCTTGATGCGGTACCGTCCTGTTGTTAAGTCGAAGGTGTTGATGAAGTCCAATCCTTTCGGTGCGATTCCAATGACCATGAGTAGTCCGCCTGTTCTCAAGACATCTGGGGCGCCGGCATATGCTGCATTCGATGCGCTGTAGACCGCCGCTGCGTGGCATCCTTTGCCTCCGGTGAGCTTCTTGATCTCTTCGAGATAATCCTTGTTCTTCATGGAGTTGAAGACAGCTTCCGCGCCGACCTTCTTCGCCACATCGAGTTGGTTGTCGTTGATATCGAGACCGATAGTCTTGATACCCATCTGTCTACTGTCAGTCGCCATGCGTAGCGCAGCTTTCTGCCCAAACTTACGGCTTTTGCATATTGTATCGCATACTGTCCAAGACCGCCGCACCCGATAACCGCCAGCCAATCGCCCGCCTTCAACTCACAGCTGTCCACTGAATGAAATGCTGTGATACCCGCACAGAACAGCGGTGCAGTCTTACTCATATCGAGGTTTTCGGGTAGCTTGACTGCATTCTGCCAATCAACGACCGCGTACTCGGCGAAGTACCCATCCGACACAAAACCTTGTAGTTTCTGGTTACCCGTCTCGCATCGCATGTTGTGGATCATGCACCCTTCGCATTCGAAACATGCGCCGATGAAATAGTTAAACCCGATAGCATCACCAACTTTGAAGCCTTTGTCGCTAGCTTCTGCGCCGATAGACTCAATGTAGCCGACTCCTTCGTGTCCTAAGGTGACATTGTAGTCGGGTCTCATGGCCATGAGCAAGTCTGAATGACATAATGATGCTGACTGTATCTTGACTAGGAACTGATTTGGTGCTTCGGTGGGCTTCGGTACGTCATTGACGACGACCTTTTGCTGCTTGCTGGATGTCTCATCAGTCGCATACTCAGTGAGGACTCCCCAGGTACCATGTACTTACGGATCCCACTGGCCAGCTTTCATGATTAGAACTGTACTGATGTTTCTTGTGTGGCTTTTGGTATAGCTTGAGGACTGTGTTGGATCCAAAGAAGAGTATTAGTACCTGCTCTGCGCTTCGCATTCACTCTACCTATGTATGCAACGGGTTGTGAGGCGCGACAGAACAGGAAAGACTGCAGGGATTGTGCTGCGAGTCATCCCGACACCATGAGGGCACCGTTGCTGACTTGGCCTAGCACAGCCGTTCATACGGAAAAAGGTGGCCGACATGGCGCGCGGGCTGAGAACGTTTGGCTAGAGGTGAAGCTTGGAGGATGCTGGGTGCGTGGCGCGCGGGGAAAGAAGAAGCGGGGTCCAGACGTCTACCTAGGTAGCTCGACTAACTTCGCGCGACTTCGTCTTGCATTCTACGCCGTGCGTCCAGGGCGAGTTACACTAGAGAGGCAAAAAACGATGTCACACTACATGTACTAGTGGTGGTTGCGGCGCGGGATGGTGGGTGGCAAAAAGAAGGCATGGGCAAAAACATACAACAGCGGGGATTCCCCGGTGGTCACCCACCCGAGTACTAATCTGCCGGTATCCTGCTTGAGTACCGCTGAGCGAACGGGAAGCGCTATGTTCAGGATCCTGTGGTCGTATGTACCAGTTTTCATGATTTGACGCATAATATCCTTCATACACGCGGCCATGAGCGAGACCCCAGTACCCAAGCGATCGAACGCCACCCCGGCAGCTGCGCTAGCATTAAACGCATCACTGCGCTTTATAGCCTTCAGTGCAGACGCAGTTGTTACAAACATCAAGACGTCAGTAGCCATACCATCCTAGGTATTCTCAACATCAAGAACCCAGACGTCACACCAAATGTAAATAGCGGTCTTGTGCTGGACTTTTAGCGCCAGGATATACCAAATCTAACAACAGATTTGCAAAGGTTCGCAGGATAAGGGGTCTCCAGTAGATTGTGTTGTCCAGATTTATCTAAGAAACTAGATACCGAGGATATAGGAGGCTCACAGGTACGTTTACGTTCCAGGCTAGACGTTCGTAGATTAGACCATCGGGCTCTACAAGAGTTCACAGCGCACTGACAGAGCAGACGGAAAATACTCATCACGCACGAAAACCAAAAGTTCAGGCAGACGTCGAGTACGACGGTCATTCTTTTACATAGTGCCTTCATCGATCTACACCTATTTACTGCTGTCACTACGTCTACTCCGCTACATCTTCCGTCCTTCTTACTCTTAAACGTAGTGATACTTGATCGTGATGCGGGGAACGCACATAGCCTTGTATGACATGGGAGCAGTGAAGGGAGCAACGTAAACTGGAGATGTAGGCTGAGCGGGAAGAGCAGCGACACTGGAGGAAGCAGCAACGCCAGGGTAACCAGCAGCGCCAGAGTAAGCGGCAGCGCCAGAGGGAGCAGCGCCATAGGAACCAGCAACGCCAGAGGAACCAGCAGAGCCAGAAGAAGCAGCAGCACCGGAGGAAGCAGCAGCGCCAGAGGAACCAGCAACGCTCGACGATGTAACAGCGCTCGAAGAAGCAGCAGCGCTCGAAGATGCAACAGCGGCAACGCGAACAGACGAGGCGACGGCAGAAGAAGAAGCGCTGGGCGTAGGTGTGGGAGCAGCACACAGAGGGGCGGCGGCATTGAGCTTTCCAACGGCCCAGTTCGAGGCGTCTTCGGTGTACTTCTCAAAGTAGCTCAGGTGCTTCTCGACGTCGTCGCCGTTGGCGCAGATCGGGTCTCCCTTGGAGCAGTAGGAGCGCAGAACAGGTGCGAAGCGGTTCAGGCGCGCAAGAGAGGTGGCGTCGCGACCGTTCTTCTGTAGATCAGAGCCGTCAAGAACGTTGTATGGCATATTAGCCTCGTGCTTGACATCACCCCAGAGGAGAGCAGCAGCGACTAAGTTACCACGTTAGCACAGTCCAAGGTTCGAGTGTGTCATGTCAAGGATACTTACTAGCGTTACCAGGAGCCGCGGCAGGGTCGAGACCAGTGGTGATCTGCGAGCATCCACCAGGTCCAGCAAGGACATCTCCCATGATCCAGGCACCCTGAGAGAAGCCGTTGAGGATGAGGTGCGTGCACGGGCACTTCTTGTTGAAAGCAGTGATCTGGTCAAGACCGTTGCGGACTCCCTCGCCAATTTGTTTGCAGTAGTCGCCGCCGTACGGGAACACGACCTCAATGTAGTCGCAGGTCTTGCCCTCAGCCCTTAGTTTGGCGCACGTAGCGTCGGCGAAGGGGAATGTACGGTAGTCATGGTACGGCGCAGTGTTACCGCGGGCCATGAAGATAACGGCATCGGCGCAGGGGGCGTCGAGCTTGGGGGGTGGGGAGTTTGGGTCTTGAGCGACGGCGACGGCGGCGGCAGCGCTGAGCGCGAAGACGGTGCGGATGATCGAAGACATTATTAAAGATTAAAGAGTGTGGTATTAATTGGTTTTTTAAAACGAGTGTAATGGTTGGATTGCGAGGTTGAAAGACCTGTGAGGAGAAGGAAAGTCTTCTTGGCTCCGGGGGAACAGTTTAATAGGAGCGTTCATCTTGCATTTCTGCCGAACTGGGCGTCGTGTCGGCTCGAACGGGCGGAAAAGGGATACGAGTTGGATCCCTTTTTGGCTGAGCTATCTACCTCGGGTCGTGCGCTAGCAGGAGCGCGGACAAACGTCGTATTATCGAGATTGATGCTGACCATGAGGTTTTGGAGGATGGCCCAAAGGACGGACGTCCCCTTGATGCATACCTAGGTACTGTCAAACTCTGCCATCTTTGCGAAATGGGTCAACGGGACATCTGAGACGTTGCTGTTGATGTTTGCATTGAAGCTAACCTTTAGTTCATGGGATCAAGCAGGGTCCAAGAAATTTGCTAGCGTGCGTGTCAATGCTTGAGCGATCCTCCATATACGAACCCCTGAGCTTGTCTAAGATAAGACTTAGTGCACGTCCCCTTCACTAACCCGAGATGTCTTAGCTCTTGTCGGCTTCCGTGGACTCTTCGAGAGCTGCCGTGCCTCATGCCACATTCGACAATCTAGATGCACTTCGCTTGTTGGATGCAGTCAAGTTTCACAACTCCGCTTGTGCCAGTCAGGCGCTACGTCCATCGCAGCGAGGAAGAAGTCAAAACATTGTGTATTGCGAGTGTCTACAAAACTTCAACCCAGTTGAGATGGGCAAAGAGAGCCTGGACATACCAAGAGCATATACTGAGCAGACGCGTCGTTTTCTTCCTCGATGAATGGGTCTTGCAGTATGAGTGCGCTGTCTGGGACTTGGATGTTCTCCAACCACAGAAGAGCCCCGGATCTGCCGTTGTGGCCCCACATGTGCACCAATGTCGAGTATCCTTCAACGAAATCCTACGTCCACTTCGATAGGGTTCAGTTTTTATGCAGACTTGATATGCCCTTACAACGGTCGGGAACTTTCTCATTAAGAACACGGTTTGTCCGCTTGCACGTGTGTCTTATGCCGCCTTTCTCCGGTATTTCCAGGCGGATTTTGTTCGGTTCGCCACGACAATACCAAGATTATGTACTTCCATCTTGAGCCTGGTGTGGTTGGCGGTGCTTTGTTGATCCCCGAAGCTTTGACCCTGCCTTGGGTGTCGGGAAACCTGGAGGATTTGGAAGACTGCAAAAGATTATCGAGTGGGAATACCCAGCTCCTGCGCAGGATCAGTAATACTTGACAGATAAGTAGTCGTATCGTATGAACGGCCAATGAGCGTGGCAGTCCAACGGTCCCGAAGTGACTTATCAGCGAAGCCAATACGACTAAATCACACATCGGCTCGTGTAGCCGTCGCATAGTTCTTTCCAGCAGCCACACTAGCAATTCTCCGCAAGCCATATCGGAAATTGCATTCAGGTTTCTTGAACTGTGATGCAAATCTAGTTTGACTGAGAAACCTCTAACATGCCTAAGGTAGTCGTTCTCCGGGGCCATATGTCAAGATACTCTGGTCTGCTGCGCTTGACAGGAGAGATGGCGTGCAAGCGGAGCGAGGCGATGGAGCTTATCGCTATTTCGCAGGGCAGTACAACCAGGAAAGAGATGTCTTGCTGGTTCGAGGAGAAGATGTTTGAGAGAAGCAAGTTTCGATACCATCGGCCGTTTCACGCCACATACGACTCCAACGAGTGGTGGATTGATAGTTCGGACGACTTAGGTGAATTGGATGAACACAACTACCGGGTCGACGCAACCGAGGGACACAACTAAGTTCTCGAGATGCCAGTAGACGGTTACAAAGAGAACCGGGAGCACGAATTCTACAACGTGCTTTCGTTTCAAAGAGGCGACGACAAAATTGCATACAGAGCTCGGTGTGGGTGTGTTCCTAATCAACGCTGAGAAGACAACAAGCCGGAAGAGACTAGGATTACTCTGATCAAGCTACAGTTAATCTGACAACACGTACTTCACGCCCTCAGCCAAGTCATCATAGAACTGCTTCCTCGGCTCATCTAGTTTGGGCGAAGGCCAGGCGAAGAAGAAGTGTGGATAGCCATCGTAGTAGTCGAGTTTGACAGGTACCCTGCAGTCACGTCAGCAATAGTAAAGCGACGAAACAGAAGACCTACTGCGCATCATCGAGCATACGCTTCATAAGCATGCCATCATCTTTCAGTGTATCTTGGCCCGCAACAGCCATGTAGACCTTCTTCAGGTTTTTGATTCCTGGGTGACGGAGCGGCGATCCGTATATATCTGTTGGTGGTGCACCAAAGGCAGCCCAAAAGTCTCTCATCGCCCCCGAAGTGTTGATAGTGTGCTGATCATGCTCCTCCATTGATGTATAACCAGCCCGAAGTGCCTCGGGAACACCGTCTGGATGGACGGTCGCAGGTATAATTCCAACAACACCAACAAGTTCGCCCGACTTCTCGTCCTGGCCTCTCAGCGCAGTTGCGAAAGCCAATTGACCTCCAGCGGAGACTCCTGCAGTGAGGTATTTACCCTCAGCGGTGTTGAGTCGCTTCGAATTGGCCAATGCCCACACCAAGGCCTTGTAGCACTCGTTCATCAGCCCAGGATGTTTGTTCTCCGGCGCGAGGCCATATTCAACAGATACAACCACTATGCCACCGGCTTTCGAGATTGCTCTGCTGAATGGGTCGTCGCCGTTGACATCGCCCATAGCCCAGCCACCACCATGATAGTACATGCACACTGGCTTGCCACCGGTATATCCATCAGGTGTGTATATGCGCACTTTGGTCCCGTCGTTGGTGACTGTGTCCTCGGTCTTTACGGAAGGGTCGGGCGCGGGGAAGGTATATTTCGAAGCCATGAGGCCACCGTATCGCATGAACTGCTCAGTCATACTTGAAACCGGCGGCTTCAAGAGCATGCGCTCGCCGAACTCTTCTTCGAACTATGCGACCCGTTAGAACAGCCTAATGCACATGCTTCCACTTGACATACCTCAAGCCATGGTTTCGCGAATCCCTCGTTAGCCATGTTGCCCTAGATTGATGTGTAAATAGTGAATCAACTCTCCCGTCTCGGAAGCCATGCTGTATAAAGCCTGACACCCCTCGGAGGAGTTGGCGTCATGTCGTGCTGCTCATCTCGACTCACGTCGACGCGTAAAGACGTCAGGGGTCCAAGCTTCCCATTCGCTGCCTCCAGGGCTGTGCCTTCCCCACGCTTAAAGACATCCGGCTCCCCCGCCAAAACAACATCGCCTCGGCTGGGCTGCATATCGCGACGCGTCGGCATCGACCCTGCAGCGAGTCATGTCTGCTATATGCACGCGTAGACATTTGATTCTGGAGTTTGATCATCTTCACTTACCTCCATAGCATTACTCACGATCCGGCCTGCACCATGGTTTTGAACATCGACATCAACAGCAGCCCGGTGTTCTCGCGCATACCACCATGGGTGAAAGCGAAACTTCGTCCGATCGCAATTGAGAAGATTCAGCAGGTATACGATTGGGTCGAGACTGAGTGCATACCGGCCGAGCGCATCTACAAAGGCCAACTTAAGGAGAGCAAAACGCGATGGGAGACACCAGCCATCATCCACCACCTTCGAAAGAAGGCAAAAGCGCAAGGACTATGGAATCTCTTCCTGCCGAACCACTTCGTCGAGAGTCCAGGTCTCACCAATCTGGAGTATTCATGCTGCGCTGAGATCATGGGGAGGGTGTACTGGGCAGCGCAGGTAAACTTCTCCAGATGCAACTCCAACGCACCTTGAACATCTTCTAACACCTCTCCAGACAATGAACTGCCATGCTCCCGAAACGGGCAACATCGAACTCCTCGCCAAATACTGCACACCGGAGCAGAAGAAGAAATGGCTCCACCCCCTCATGAACGGCGACATGTCCTCCGCATACAGCATGACCGAGCCCGACGTCGCCTCCTCGGACGCAACCCAAGTCGGCATAAAGATGGAAATCACGGACAAAGAAGTCATCATAAACGGACGTAAGCTGTACGGCAACTGCCAGTACAACCCAGAGATGCAGCTCTTCATCCTGATGGGCTGTTCAGATCCCACGAACGCGAACGCCTGGAATAGACACACAACGCTGGTGGTACCTGCGAACAGTCCCGGGCTGAAGCAAGTGAGGAACCTGACAATCATGGGCTACGACTGGGCGCCTGAAGGACATGGCGAATACATCTACGAGAACGTGCGTGTGCCACGCGAGAACATCATCCTCGGTCCTGGTCGCGCGTTCGAGATAGCGCAAGGGCGATTGGGGCCAGGCCGTATACACCACTGCATGCGCTTGATCGGCCAGGCAGAACGTGCTTTCGAACTCGCGCTCGTCCGCTGCATGGAGCCGCGCAAGAAGCCACGAGGCAAGTTCATCGGCGAGTTCGACAGCAACATCGAACGTATAGCCGATATGCGCATGACTATCGATGCTATGCGACTTGTTGTGCTCAACGCGGCGGACACCATGGATCTTCAAGGCAACAAAGCAGGCAAATACGCCATCGCGCAGAGCAAGATCATGGTGCCGAATGCGCTGCTCAAAGTCATCGATGAGGCTATGCAGATATATGGCGGCCAGGGCTTGACGCAACATACTCCATTACCGGAGCTGTGGACGTATGCTCGTTTCGTGAGGGTGGCTGATGGTCCGGATTCAGCTCATCGACATCAAGTCGGGAGAGATCAGATGAAGACTGCGCAAGGGTTTAGGAAGAGGGCGGAGGGGTACACAGAGAGGTATAGGGAGCTGTGTAAGAAATGGGGGTTGGAGCCAGAAGAGTTCTGGGGTATTCTATAGTAGTTGTATGTGCTTGTTCTATCTGAAAACGAAAGCAATAATGCCCACGTCCGTGTCTATTCCAGGACGTGCAATCGTGAACTTCAAGTATCATATTTCGTGAAAACTTGGAGGAATGCCATTGAGAAGCACATGGGAATTCGTG